ACATTATTAGCAAACGAAATTTCGCAAAAATTATATTGACAACAAAATCATTACAATTATAGTAATTGATCGTACCAACATACATCAAGTACTGAGATTCTAAGTTGTCCATATGGGATATTTAATATGTGTGTTGAACATAGTCGCATAAATTTCGTCAATTATACATCATATGCAGCAATCTTTAAGCGACTTATTTAATTTAACAGTAATTTCAATAAAGTTCTCCGAAATCAAATATAAAGTAACAACAAGAGTCTACGTATTTTTGATCACCCCTCATATTTTTACCATTTCTGAATTTATTGTTTATTGCGATGCGATTGATTGATAAAAGAAAGAGAAATAATTATATTAAAATCGTTATTAAATTGGATGCATTTGCAAGTGAAATTAAATTTATACAATTGAGAGTTTTCAGGTTGATAATTCAAATGTCAGTTTTACGACTTTTTGTTGATTGCACAAATTTACTTCAATTTTAATATTATTTTAAGAGATTTTTATCGTTTTATTTATCAATAATAATTTAATGTTGACAAAAAAGCATAGGAAAAAAATGGTTATGAAATGTTACTATGTTACCTTTTATATAATTAAAATTTTAATCAGTTTTAAATTGAAAGTTCTGTCCAAAACATGTTTCCAGTTGATGATAAAACTATTTTGTTAATATCAATGTGACGTCATTAATATATTTTCATAAATATCGTAGTCTTAAATTATAGTTTCTGACTTTTTTTCTGAGATTTGAAACATTTGTCACTTGTACTGTATTTTGTACAAAACAACGTATTACTTAATCAATATACACATATCATACAGCTAGCATGAACAACTAAGACGCAGACTCCATCCGATTTGTTTTATATGTTGACCAAAAAAAACAATTTATTATTTTTTATTCATTTACTTACTGTTTTTTGTTTTTTTACTTTATCTTATTTTATTTTTAATATTTTTTTTTTATTTTATCTTATAGTTTACATAAAGTTACTCTTTGGCAAATAACCCCAACCTATCTTTTGCCCTTTTAGCTGAGCCATACTTTGCTGCTGTTTATGGCCGCCAAAACAGGTATAGCGATTTAGTAATTTGTACGAAAGACAAAATTTAATTTTCTGTAAGACTTTCACGTTTTGCATCTTGAATGGCATATTATTGATTAAACCCTGTTTTCTCCATATGATATGCATCTCAAATCTACTTTGTGAAAAAATAGTGTATCTATGTTAATTACATTTTTTCTTTTGCATTATAATTTATTGTATGTAGTTTATAGTATGTTAACAGTGTGACATTTGTCACAAATTTTGTCAGTCATTGAATTTAAATATTGAGGTTATTTTTTAACAGTTTAAAGTTGGTTTGTTTATAGTAGAGAAACCCTTTGAGAAAACAGAAATTCCGGTAAACTTCATACAATTGTTTTTTAAAAGCCAAGTCTGTGCCAAAACTGTCAACTTCGCTGAGATAAACAAGGAAATCCATATTTTAGACAATGAACTGTTAACAAACGTTGAAGACAATGTTTCCGACAGACACTTGTGTGTATAGTCACTCAGGGAGTCAAGTCCTGACCCCAGCGTGATTCGCCCTTGTTTATTCATATTTAATCACGAGCGGGAAATCTGTTTTAGTGATAAGCTTGGTTTTACTCAATTCCTACATGAATTGAAAAAAGATTCCATTTTACTATTCTTATATAGTACTTGGATGATAATTTGAAAGTAAATAGGAATTTGTTTACATTTATAATGGGTTTAATGGTTGAGACGGGTGTCAATTTCGTGTTTACATCAGCTGCACGAATGATTATAATGTGTAATGAACTACAGGGCCGATATTGGAACTCCATCCATAAGTAACCCCACATCAACTTTAGGCCTTAACTAGCTTTAAAATCAAAGAATTCCTCTTTTATAAGGGAGGTAAATGAGTTACTAAACTGAAGTTAAAAATCTCAGTAACCTCCCTCTACATAAATATAAGAATACCTTGCTATTTCTGTCGACAGCTATTCATTGTAATTGTAAACACTGGCAAGGAAGTTAAACAAAAAGGCAAGAGCATGTAAATTGACGTGCAAATTGCCGTTTTTACACAACTGGTCTGCCATCTGACCGGAAATCAAGTTGAAGCTAATAATCCCGCAACTGAGAGTACATGGGATAACCCATGATAAAACTGAAACAAATAAGAGAGAATTTAAAAAACTATTTCATTGATAGCGTTGTAGGTAAATCTAATTTCATCGCTAGAAAAGAAATGTCAAAATGACAATATTGACATTCATTCATTCATTTATAATTTTCCGTTTAAAAAGTGGTTATTATGGCTTTCCTCCATGGTCGTAATTTCGTGTTTTTGATGTTTTGAGTTATGTTATGTTTCTGTTTATTATCTAGCAAGTGATTGAGAACATGTAAAACTTTAACATATGATCTTACATTATTTCTCTATTCATATTGTCTAAACTATGTGGGTTTTTTTTTTTCTTATTTTTTTAACACGTCTAAATAAAGAAATAACTTAACTTTTTTTCTGATGAATGTATTAAAACTCAATTGCTTTCCACGGGTCATGAATTTTAAGATATCAATGATGATACGCATGATTCCCATTTTTACTCTTGATTAAACTTTACATTTTTTAACATCTCGGGGCACCACCACCAGTTTAAAAACATTAACACAGAGAGTGTTGAAACGATTAATCTGAAGAAGGTAAAAATCGATTGGATAAGATACTAATACTTCCCCCTACATTCCCTCCTAAACAACGGTTTTAAGTTTATGATTGAAAACAAACTTTTCACATTATATATGCCATTCTTCGATCTACACGTCTCAGCACTGTTCAATTTTAAGCACGTAGAAAATTTGACAGGTAGTAACGGTAGTATCGTTTACATTGTATGTACAGACCAAATGAAGTGAAGATCATAAGATTTGTAAAACTAAAGCAAAATCAAAGCACAGAAAGCGCTGAATTTGTCTAAAAATGTCAATAAAGAGAAGATTGTGAGATTATAAAACAATTTGTTTTTGTAAAGTGCCACCAGTGCTGTTTTCAGTGTTATAACTGTAGTAAATTCGCTATAAGGCTAATTGCAACAATGATATTCAATTCAATGTTTATTTGGCTTAAATCATTTTAAAACAAAACAACTAATAATAAAAACACATTAGTTGCCTTATCTGGGATTTGAACTCCAGATCTCTCGCTTCCTAAACGAGCGTGTAACCCCTCGACCACGGGAAGAAAGCCTGAAGAAAACCTCTTCATACTAAATTAGGGTTTGTAACCCTTATTAATTTCGAGATATTTTGTTCGCGGTAAATCTGTTGTTTAACACTGATGTAAATAATCTTGGAGCTTAATATAAGCATGTATATCTGTGAAGAACTACACAATATTAGAAATCTTCGACGAATTGGGAAGTATTTATCTTCCCCGAGTAGGCTTAAAAATGTATGCGCCTGTCACTTGACAATCTTTACACAGTGATCTCCCCTTATCCCCTTAATTTTTCGGCGTTAGTGTACTTATAAAGGGAAGTAACCGCTTCGAGGAGTTCGGACTATTTTCGGATTTTGCAAATAAACATATCAGGGTCTGAAATTTCGCTACCATTATTTGTTTGGTCTGACGACCCAAACAAATAAAAACAGTCTTGATTAGATGAACATTGACATCTTAAAATCAATCGCACCCTCCCATGTCATCCATGATTTCATCTATGCACCTACTTTTTCTTTGTTATCATTGTCAGAAGTAACGAGTTTTTTATGTAATATTTCTTTCCTCTAAAATAAGTTGGTTCTTCTGTCTGATCACCAAGAGTATCCATGTTTTCTGCCATTATGTTATTCAGATGGCTGAAAGACCCTTTAGGTTTGTTTAGGCTTACTGTCATTTTTCTCTTGGCAATCGTACGTACATTTGATATAAAATAACCCAATGAAGAGCGTCCCTAATAAACTGTGGCAAATCAGTACACTGACTCAAACTTTTTCATCTATTATCGAATTTTTTCTAACAAGTATGTGTTGTTCAAACTCTGAGAACGAACTATCTCTTCTTTAATAATTAAAATATTCATTCAGTTTAAAAAAAAAAAACAATTTATGTTTCATTTGACTTATACTGTCGCCATCACCATTAAAAACCGTTCGTTTGCATTGTTTAGTTATATTGCAATACCTTTGATAGTCAGGCATGAGACAACCGCGACAAAAACAGTAATTGCAAATTTCTTAATATTACTAAACGCATGCGCATTATGTACAGTTACAACATACATCGTACACAAGAGTGCACACTTGCTCATGCATAGCACTGCAACTATACAATTATGTAAGTTCAATAGAAAGTGTGCGATTGATGAAATGCACATAAATACCAAAAATTGAAAACAAAATCAAACCTTTAAATCAAATCTAAAAAATGAAAGTTTAAGTGTATGTAAAAGATTTAAATCTTATGAAGCTTCCCTCGAAAATGTTTAAACAGGTATCTTCTGAACATTTTTTGTTTCGAAGAAGCCTTATTTACGAGCATAACAAACATATAGCTTTATAAACGAGTGTTCAACCTAAGAAAGAATGTGTGCTTGCAGAAAAAAAAATGTTATATTGTTATACAAATATCAAGTTTTTCAACTGGTTTAAGATAGCACAAGTTAACTGAGAAAAAAATGGACGGTATAAAAACTTATTTTTTCTTATTTCATCTTAACTAACCATGTTTTTAAATGTTTTACCCTTTTCAAACGATTTGTTAAAAATGTGGGAAACCTTTCTTGTGCGGGAAATTTTATCACATTTTAAAACAAAAAAAAAAACCCTTTAAAATCCCATTTGTATTTTTTTATTACCCAAATTTAATTTATTTTTCCCCCAATCAACAGTCATGCTTTATTTAAATTCCCAAAACACTCTTTTAATGTATAAAACTTTTTCACTTTTATTGGGAAATTTAGCTTTCAAAACCCAAAAAAATTTACGAAAATAAAGATGGAAAAATCTTCCGAGGAAAGGCTTCATTTGATTTTTTTTCAATTTATTGATATATACATAAAGTTAACTATCATTTTCGGATTTAATTTAAAGGTTTGAGTTTGTATTTTTATTCCCTATTAAATCTTTTGGTATTAAATTGCATTAATTTCGTTAATCGCACGCTGTCTATTGAACTTAGCATAATTATTGTGCAACGCATATTTGTGCTTATTTTAAAAAATGCTATAACTGTTTTTGACACTGCCGTCTCTTTTTTTAGACTAACTAACAGTTGCATTGATAATAAAACAAATCATGCAAGCAAAGAGTGACTTAATTTGAAGTTAATTATGATATACATGTACTGTAGTCCGAGAATTAAAGTTAAATGAAAAATAAATTGTATCAATGAGTCGATATTATAAGAATTTTAGATTCGTTCTCAAAGTTTGAATAACACATAAAAAGCAAGTTTAAACACAATCTTTTTGATTGTCTCCTTTAAATTAATATTGTTTGATAAAGGTCGTTACATAAATTTAGTGGGCGGCCGTGGCAGACTGGTTAAAATTTTAAGGTAACTTGTCCCTCTCCGCCGTGTGTTCGAATACCACCAGGCACTTTGGATTGTTTCATGTGAGAGGGCTATCCGGCCACTTTACGAAAAGTCAGTGATCTTACTCAGATTCCTGTTCGTACCTGAAATAATGCACGGAGGGGCACACGTATGCTTGTTTGTTTGATAGATTGGGTTTTACGTCACACCGACACAGTATATGTCATTTGGCGACGTTCCAGCTTTACTGGTGGAGGAAGACCTCGAGTCCCCTTCCGTGCATTATTTCAGGCACGAACGGGCACCCGAGTAGAACCACCAACGCTCAGTAAACACTCTTAGGTATTCCACCACCAGTAAAGCTGGGCCTCTACTATATTGATGCCACGTTAAACCCAACCCACAAATCAATCAGCGGTTGGGATACTCGAAAAGGACACACATACTAATGTTAGCTTACAATGAGCAGTAATCAGTAAACATCCCCAAAATTAAATACGTAATAGTGACAGCTTGCAATATCATTTGAAACGGAATCAGTTATAAAGTAAGAACAGTGTTTCATTATCTACAAGCGTCTTAATTTGTGAAAAATGTAGCCATTTTTTTATTTCCTTTGCAAAACTACAAACGGTAATGAATAAATGTCTATCTTAATTGTACAATTACATATTTTTATAATCTGCTTTGAATGTCAAACAATACTGTATCCATCATATTTGAGTCCTTCATTATTCAAAAAGCCAACCAGAGGTACTTTGAATTTATGTGTAAAATTTGGAAATATTTGCTTTATATCAACTGAATCATTCAGACTCTGTCATCCCTTAAAAGAGAATCCGTCATTTTAAGTGTTAACCCGTCAAACATAAATATTATTTTATTAGGAATGTTAAACATTTTCGGTTTTGGTTTTCACTACGTATTATATTGTCGAATTTTATCACATCCAATACATGATTTTTTTACAATAAAACAGTACACTTAAGGAACGCCCAAAGGGGTTAAACATCAATACGATCATCACATTTTCACATTTGTTTTACAGGCATCATTTTAACACATCTTCTCCAGTCATAAACAAATAATTTGTACGAATATATGACTAATACAAGTAAAGCAACAAAATAAACACAAACTGTGCATTTTATGACAATTATCTTTTAAAATCTTTATGTGTATAATGTAGTTAAAGTTTATTGTAAAGTTTTGTTCAAGTCAACATTTGATTCATATTTTATATTTGATCCATGTCAACTTTCAATTCAAACTGTTTTCTTTTGTTTGTTTGTTTTTTTGTTTTTGTTCTTTTTTTATCGTAATTCATTTGCTGTCCTCGTTTATCTTAATGATATATTATTCTTGGAAAAATATTGATAGTAGCTGGAAAAGTTTGAGTGTATTGATCTTCAGGACTTCCCATTGGTACTGCTTTGCCACATTACCTTTTAGCCCGCTCTGCATCGTTTTTTTTTTATATTCATTTCAAATATAGGATTGCAAAGAGTTTCAAATGGATGTAAACCTAAACAAGCCCACAGGACCTTGCAGCAATCTGAGTAGCATAATGACAGCAAACATGGATACTCTTGTGAATCAAACAGAAGAAGAGAAACAACTTATGTTGGAGGAAAGAAATACTACAGACAAAGTCGTGGCCTCTGATGATGGTATCAAAGAAAACGTAGTTGCATCTCCTGATGAAATCATTGAAGATATGGGAGGGTGTGGTCGATTTCAAATCCGTATGTCTGTTGTTGTACATCTAATCAAGACCATATTCTGCTTTAGCTTCACAAATCTTATGATTTTCACTTCTACAACGGCATGGTTCTGTGCAAATTCTGAAATGTTTACAAACAGTACATCAGCACATATTGGGTCTCCAGTTTGCTTGAAGCTAAATTGTATAGAGACATGTAAATCGGAAAATGGCACTAAATGTGAAAGCTTTGTATTCAGTGATAAACTGAAAACCGTTAATGGAGAGGTAAGAAATAGTATCTTATATATTAAATTTATTTACACCTCAAGTAAATCATTTTATTTTAGGCCATTTATTTCAATACTATGTTAGTGTAAAGAATGATACTGCTTTGACCGGTTGTTGACATCAAAGATGTTAAAAAAATCACTCAATTAAGAATAAAAATGAAAAACATGACAGTGTATCATGATTTTAATCTTATAAGATTAAAATGATGATAAAATCATATACGTTATAAATGATGATGATATTATTTATGAAGCGGAATGAAGTATTTAGGGGTCTTTTATCTATTTAAACATTTTAGGCGATTACTTATTGAACATAAATCAAAGTTATTTGACTCAATTGACAAGACTTTAAAAAGTTATTTTATATCACAGCTTGAAATGAAAGTTGTATTTTCTGTATCGCTTTTTAAATGAAAAATATGAATAAACACATGTCAAAGGCCTTGTCATTTAGCCTGTCTTCTAAAGATAATAACATCAGTTACACTGTTATTGATGCTAAGGTTTTTTTTTTTTTTTTTTTTTTTTGCTTTTTAATTTTTTCCGGATTGTTTCAGTTTAATCTTGTATGTGACCGAGATTTTATTCCAAGTACAATAAGTTCACTGCAGCTGGCAGGATCATTGGCTGGCAACGTGATTTCCGGCCATGTGGCAGACCAGTTTGGTAGAAAACTTCCATTCTTCATGTCAATACTATTGGTCCTTTTGTTTAACTTCCTCGGCTTTTTCGCATCGGCATGGCAGATGTTTGCTGTATGTACATTTTTCACCGGTTTAGGGTACGGAGTATTCACAGCAACCCAATATAACATTTTGTCCGAGTTTACACTGGCAAAATGGCGAACATGGATAGTAGGTTTTCCATCATGGCCAATACAACAAAGCATTTTCGCTCTGTGCGCATGGTTAGTTCATGACTGGAGGTACATGCAATTAATTACAGCGTTAATGGCAATTCCGTGCTTGTTTGCATGGCTGTAAGTATACAAAATGGAATTTTCTTATATTGTTAGTATTTTTGTTTCCATTAATTAATATTGCAAACCATTATTTTGCATTTTCTGTATAATGTTTTTTTTTCTGAAAAAGGTCGCTACTTATTTTTAAATTAAAATGTTTACCATTGTCCTGCATAATTTGTAATATGCCGAGCCTTAAAAAATTTAAACAGTAAAAAGAATCATAATACAAAAACTGAACTGAATAACATTTATTTTCTGCCATTATAATTTTAAAGTCATAACGAGCGGTTTTCTTGATTAGACTAATCAAGCTCACATATATGTAACTGACCATTATGAATTGTGTTGATATCAAGATATGTATTTGAATTTGGTGGGCCAACAGTGTAATCTGGCCAAATGCACCAATGCTTATCTAGTTAACTTCCAGCAGGATAAGTGTTAGTAAGTATTAACATGAAACTTATCTGGCAGGAAAGTAATACTACAAAATGACAAATAAATAGTGCATTTTAGCGACGTTTAGAAAAGAAATTGCATTTATCTCTTTAGATATCTCCTTTATTGTCATTAAATTTAAATTGTACGATTCCGCATTTTATTTTAGGATTATACCAGAAAGTTTTCGATGGCATATTGCTCGAAATGACTACATGAAGGCAAAACAGGTCATTAAAACTGTAGCCAAATTTAACGGTCATGAACATGATATTTGTATAGATAAGGTGTTTAGTAGACAAGAGAAATTCAAAAAGCAAACATACACATTTGTTAGCTTGTTCAAGACGCTTGCAATGGCTCGGGTAACGATTTTGCTGATCCTAAACTGGTAAGGTGTTATCTAAGATTTTTCACCTGTTTTTGTTCTCTTAATTTAAGACTATTTCTAATAAGAACATTTGGCTGTGATATAACATCAATATTTATTTTAACATCAGTTCAACATCATACATTTGATAATAATGTTGGGGTACTGAGTGATATTCAAGATACTGAGAAAATCTGCAAAGGGGGTAGGTGATCATTTTGAAGAATTGAAAACAACCTTTTTTGTGAAAGAATTGCAGTCTTGGTTTGATTGAGTCTGATCATGAGAGAAAATGTAAAAATACAATTATACATATCTTTATTTTGTTTTGAAATTATGTGTTTATTTATTTATATGTTAGTTTGTTTGTTTGTTTGTTTGTTTGTTTGTTTACGTGTTTGTTTTATTTTATCTGTTAAATGAAGCAATGTTTAATTATAGGATCGCCCTGGGCGTGGTCGGTTATGGTATATGGTTTGGCATTCAGGCTCTCTCTGGAAACATCTTTCTGAACTTGTTCTTGTTCAGTGTAACAAGCATTCCATCAAAAACATTAGGCATTTTCCTTTGCAACAAGTAACTGAACTCCTGCACTATAATATTATTGAATAAGAAACAATAAAAAAGCCTTGTTTTATTTATTGTTTGAAAATATATTCAGCATTATAATTCTTTTTTACAATCATTGAGGATTGCGTTAAATTTGTCAGTAAGAGCTCTTGTATTATCTGTTCTTATCTATCGTCGAAAAAAGTATCAAAATATGCTTTATACATGATTTAATGCGTTGTATAGGACAGGTAACACTACCGAGTGCACGAATGTTAATCACATCATGCATGTTGTTAAGCTTTTTAAAACAACTGCTTTACCTTAGACTAATAAATTACAAAACCAACAATTGAATGATGTTGATGTATTGTAATTGTTAATACTTTTTATGGCAGTTTCTGTATTTTGCCTGAAAAAAGTTAAGATTGGATACAGTTATGGATGAGGCTACTTTTGATGTATAAGGTATATGTTATTTCAGATTTGGGCGACGTAAAACCACTATTTTGTGTTTCCTGATAGTGACTTTTGCTGGCACCGTTATTGGATTGCTCCATACAGTTAAACACAGTGAGATATTGACCCATTCAAATCAAATATAATTCAAGGTTTTCTATTTACCTTTTATTTGCAGAATTTCACAGACTTGTCCTGCTCCGATTTTTTAGAACTGGCAATTGTCAATTTTGGAAATATTAGCACGAAAGTAAAGAAAACCATCTGTATAGAGCCTGGTCAGCATGATGTGACTGCAATTCTGTACAGGCTAGACTAGTTTTACACTGTTGAAAAATAGCTTATCAAAACCGGTTTTATCAGTGTAGAAGTAATTAAACTTTCAAAAACTAGTTTTAATTAAAATTCATGTATTTAAAATTTAACTTACTTTTTAACATTTTTTTTTCAGATTTCACGTTTACAGATCAGATGACAAATATTCTAGCAATTATCGCTAACACGAGCATAAGTGCCGCATGGTCATCGGTGCAAACGATGACCGTTGAGTTATATCCAACAGTTATCAGGTAGACTATTTCATGTTCATTTGCACTACATGCACAGGCATAAAATGAATTTAACAGAAGTGAGTACATGTAACCAGGTGTTAAAATATGTTTGATGAATAAAGTAAGCTTTTATTTCATTTAATCTGTGTAATTAAGCTAATGATTCCTATAAAACATGTTTTCAATAATTACTTGTTCAGATTTTGATTTCATTTACATGTAAAAGGATATGTGTGGTGCAATAAAGGGGATGATTTATTTTCAGAAACATCGGCTTTGGAACCTTGAGTTTTTTAGGTGGAATTGCTGCTGTGATTGGACCACAACTTGTCTATTTTGTACGTATTAAAATCACCAACTAGACAGATAACTAGTGATATTGAACAATCAAGACAAAAAAAGCGATCATTATAATTATGTGTGTGAATAAAATATTTGAATTTTCGGATCACCGATCGCTTTTATTTAGTTCAAGCCTAAGTTTGTACATAATATAATGTAACTTGGGTGTATTTTCGTCTTTTTAAAGAATGCTTTAGCTCGATGTTCTGGATTTCCTAATAGTTTCCAAATTGTTTTGCTACCTTTCACATTATGTAATTTAAAAGCAATTCTTCAAGTGAATTCGTTGGTTTGCATATGTTTTCATTCAAATTTGCTAATTTAATTCTGTTTCAGAACACTTGGCTACCTGGACTTCTGTTCTATGTATGTGGTGGTATATCATGTATATGTGCGGTTGGTACGTTCTTTCTGCCAGAAACTATGGACAAATATTTGAAAGACGACATATAATGACAAAACCCAGCAGCTGCTGTTGAAGATGTTCTTGTATGTCTTAAAATATGGCGTGAAATTTACTATACAAAATGTTCAACATAATATAAATATCAACTATCAAATAAAAGTTTTTATCATATATATATTGTTCGTTTCAATTTATTTGTCAATTTGCTGCAAATTTTGTCCAAAAGTAATAACATGTCAAGGTTTTTCTAATATTATATACATATCAGCATACAATGTATAACATTTGTTTAACAGCACATTATAATGAATCGTGCTCGTCAGAAAAATAATATTTGAGCCGCGTCACGACAAAACCAACATAGTGCGATTGCGACAAGCATGGATCCAGACCAGCCTGCGCATCCGCGCAGTCTGATCAAGATCCATGCTGTTCGCTTACCAACCCTATAACAAGTAGAGAAACTGATAGTGAACATCATGAATCCTGATCAGACTGCGCGGATGCGCAGGCTGGTCTGGATCCATGCTGGTCGCAAACCCATTATGTTGGTTTTGTGGTGGCGCGGCTCATTTTATTTTTACTTGAAGAGGGAGATAAGTGAGTATTTATTTTTTGAGTATAATAACGCACTTATTTCCCTTGTCAAAGACGGATAAAATACTGGCAAGTTCTTAAGTTGGTTAGGATTGAGTACATTAATTTGCTATAATATTTTAAATGGGCGTTTGTTTACAATTTACTACTTTTATGAGAAATTTCTCCACATTAAGCGCTTCTTTCTTTATATGGTAAGCATCTATTACGTTTTAAAACCACAATCATGTTTAATGTCATTAAACTCATGTTTGCACTTTCTAGAGAAGCAAAAAAATTTTTTTTTTCTTATGCATAATGTATTTTTAATTGATTAAAACTCTGGATTATGTATGATAAATATGATGGACATAAACATAGCAGTTATTTCTTTTAGTCCACAGATGCTACATTTATTGACGATGTGTTTGCCTTTAAATAACATGCTTAAAAAACAAAAATCAATTTGGACACACTGACAAACCATTAAGCGTGTGAAACATATTGAACATTGCAAAATAATGTTGAACAATGAATAATTGTAAAGAAAATAAAAGGGAAAGATAAAATATCGTAACAATTGTTGATGCAGTAGGCGTGGTATCTCAATAGACAATGTGTAGGATGAACTGTTACTGAAGGGTTTACAAAGAAATTTTAACGAATGTGTATATCACATATTTAATGGATTTATAAGAAGTGCCGAAGTTTGATTCCATAACTACATATTTTTTAATTGTTGTATTTTTATCTTTTTTTATCTGATATGGTTAATCATTTGCAGTTAATCAAGTGTAAAATGTGTACAAATTATATAAAATGAAGCTGAAAATGAAACAAACAAATGCGAAAAGATGCAATACTTGTAGAAGGAAAACTGGAATGTATATCAACAACAAGGATAATATAAAATTAAATTCAGGGATATTTTGATAGGAGGCGGCAATGCTTGCTTAGTCAACACATTTTGAAGAATTTGTTAAAGATCCAATGGTCATTTTTATTTAATATATGATAAAAGACTACGTATGACCATTTAAATTTTCATTTACTGTTTGATGCCTTTTTTCCTGCGTTAGCTGTACATGAAAAGATAATTTCTATCTCATGGGCTGGACATATCGGTATATTCTTTCAAAAAACCAAAGGTGGACAATATGCACTATTGGCTCCATTTGATAATTTCAATGAAACATGTAGTTGTTATGTCTACTTTTTCGTGTTTTATTCATAAAGTACTGCTTCCAAGAGCTGTAATGCACCGTAATAGACTCACAGCTATCGTGATAATTTGCTTTTGGATATTCAGCACATACCTTCATATACTAGCAGAATTAAATGCAGTAAGTATGACCCTCTGTTAATTTTTAGATAAAATTTTTAAGAATGTAAGTCGACAAGCGCGATCAACAAGTGCTAATGCAGTCCCTAACAAATTTTGATAACATGACCATTAGAAAGGCATCTAGTAGGTCAGTGAACAGAAAATACGGGAATAGTTATCCTTTGCAAACATCCATGGTAGATAAAACTTTGACCATGTTTCCAGTTTTTGTTTGACTTTTTTTTAAACGACCAGTTATTGTCTAATGCATAGAATCGAAAAGACTGTGTGTTGAAGCTTAGGTCAGGAGATGACGTTGAGTTTGCAAAACTTCCATATTTGCAATTCCATATCTCCTTTAAACGAGGTAAATCTTTCATGTCAACACATGATGTTTTATATAATTTTCTATGGAGAATGGGCCTTAATTTCACAGCATCATATTGTTTACTACATGCATCTGTAGTTCATAAAATTATATAAGTTATGATAGAGTCAGATTATTGAGAGACTCTTACTCTGCTCTGTTAGGCCACATGTGTCACAAATCACATTCGTCACAAGTTTTTATGAATTTGTGACGAATGTGATCACATTCGTCACAAATGACTTTTGTGACGAATGTGATTGACCAAAATCGGGTAAAAATGCCAATCACAAACGTCACAAGCAAAATTGAGAATTTTTAAACAGGCGAATCACAAATGTCACAAGTTTATTTTTCAATATGTGATACACGGAATATCATAAGGACAGTCGTGGTTATATCAGTGCGATAGTACAAGGGCGACAATGCAATAAATCGATATTGTGATGTCGACATCACGATACCAATATCTTTTCACCACCATTGCATTATCGCCATCGTACTAACTTGTTGCAATATCGTATCGTCGGCATTGTATTGTCTTCATAGAACTGTCGCATTGTCGTAATGGTATTGCTATCAAGTCGTCTTACGTTCTCGAAACCTTCAAAAAATTTTTGGTGACAATGCACGGCATAGTATCAGACTTCAACTGGAAGTGATCTTTTACCTCTGTGAACCCTCAAATTTCTTCCCACCATACAGCGACAGTCTAAAGGAATCTCACAGACTTAATCTTAGTTTCAGTACAAATTATGACCATATTTACACCAATGAGACCATATATGATTGTTTGGGAAGTAGCTGAGACCCCCGTTGACTTTCAGGATATCTAATTAGAGATTAGGACCTTTTGACATCAATGAACCTTTTTTGGTCTGACAGACTTTTGACTTCCGCAGACTTTCAGGAATCTTGGTTCAATTAAAGAGTACAAAAGATATTAACACATGTGTTCGGGATGAAAATGTTAGCTAACATACCAATACCCATAACATTACCCAATTTTTCCAATTATTAACCTCTGTGTTGAGTTTTTTCTGTAACTAGTATCTAAAGATATTCACATGAAACTCGGTATTATGTGTCTCGTATTTGGATGTTATAACACGAAAAAACATGCGTTATCCCTATATTGAAAATGAAAAGCAAAACATAAATTAGCAATAAAAAGGTTATAGAACAGGTCTGGTGTGCCTAAATGCGATTTATCACATGTTTTGACGTCGCGGGAGTGTAATAAAGCCATTACATATTTTCCATATTACTTAGAGGTTATTATACAGGGCAAGTGTGCCTGAAGGAAGATATCGGCACACTTGGTTAGGTATTGGCCCGAGGGCTTTAGCCCGAGGGCCAATGCGGACCAAGTGTGCCGATATCTTCCTTCAGGCACACTTGCCCTGTATCATAACCTTTTTATTGCATATGTAGACACTCAATTATGTTATTCTTCTAAACAAAGTTTAATGTTTTATCTCCATACTGTTTTCTAACAAATCGTGTCTATTTTCTTCACATTTTCCGTTCGCCACAAACATTTGTATTTTAAATATCTGCTCATTAAATTTCTATAAAATCATATAAAAATGTGCAGAAATTTAATCTTTATCTATCCTGTTGCGTGTTATGCTGATAAGTTAACTATAAGTTATATCTTGAGCGCTCCAACGTCAAAACTTGTTTACGTCAACCGGACGTGACGTCATGATATGGATTTTTGGCACACTAGCAAGTGTGCCGATATCTGGCACACTTGCTCAATGCATGCTTATATCGGCACTCTTTGGGCAATATCAGCACACTTCCTTAGCATTTTTGTTACTATTTATAGTAACAAATGCAATAAACTAGTATAATATCGTTTTGACGTCGACGTCATTTAACGTTAGCGGACGTCGCTTGATTTTACCGCGTTTATAAGGCAAAATAACAACAATTTTTCGGTTTATCGGCTCCAAAATTTAACCTGTGATATGAATAAAATAATAAAATGCTCGGCAGAGCCTCGCAATTTATTATTTTATCCAACTCGTTTAATAAATTCAATATGAAAAGACACTCATGTAATATCCTCTATATTGGCCTACGAGACCGCTAAAGCCCTCGGGCCAATACCTCTTCTTGGCCAATATTGCATTCAGACACACTAGACCTGTGTAATAACCTATAAATACGCAACGGCAAACACTATAAATAGAAAAAAAATGTGAATTTAAACGTATATGAGTTTTGTCCATGTAATATGACTGTGGTCAGGTGACGTGATGCGCCAAATATCGATATCGGTCCGACTTCCGGTTGGGCCGATATCGATTTCCCACTTCGGGTTGCTAAAAAACGCGGAAAGATTGACAATTTTATAAGAAAAAATACGTTTAACTAAAATATATCTTGATAAAAAAGCAAAATTGAAGAAACACTTGAAAAACAATCTCCAAACAGTTAAATAACGCCAAAATATATTAAAAACAAATGTTTGTGAGGAAATGACGTCAACGTCATTAGACGACGTCAAAAGTCCCTCGCTTTTTAAAATAAATTATACATTGTCGCTGAACAATGTTTTCAAACGATTTTTTTAATTCTATAATGAAAACCAAAACATAAATGAGCACATGCAATAAAAAGGTTATAGAACAGGTCTGGTGTGCCTTAATGCGATATGGGTCTACAAGATCGGTATTAGCCCTCGGGCTCTTTTAGTGGGCCAAAATCGAATAAAGGCACATCAGACCTCTGTAATAACCTATAAATATATCCCGCCTCTAAACCAATGAAAATTCGTGAACTTTATTAGCAGTATTATAATTGCGGCTAGTATTGTGCAATGTGAGTTTGCTTTTAGTCTTCTTGGAATCCATGTTGTTATTCATTACTTTATATTCTAGCATAAAATTGCCGTTATAACCATGATTTCGGGGTGTTTTAACAGGACCAAAAAGGTCTTTTAACAAGGAGATTCTAGCGCTCATGCGCTGTTAAAACACCTTTTTGATATACGTTTTCCGTGGCACAGCGTCAATACATTGTGGCCCGGACGCTGCTTAACTAAAACGGAAATGACGTCACGGTCACATACAACGCTGACGTTCCCGTGCAATCCGAGGAAAATCAGTGATGTTGCTTGATTGTGTATGGATTGTGTTAGATTTATGCATGCTTTATGCTAGAATAGCGTTAACGAATGATTGTTCCGTGTCATAACAACTGCTGAAACCCTCGGGATACGTTGGGTCGGGTACCAACTAATCCTTGGGTTTCTACAGATATTTTTAACACGAAAAAAGAAACATGCGTTATTCCTATATTATATCAGAGTTCTTTAGTACTGACGGCTCATCTAGGGTTCAATATGGCGCGGTTCATATAGTTATTTTACCAGTAATATCTATAAAGGAAAGGGTTAAATGAGAATCATGAAGGAAGTTGAATAAATAAACTTAAAGAAAACTTAACATTTCTTGTAGAATATGATTGGTCTTGCGAAGCTATAATTACACGAGGTCATTCAAATATCTTGCAAGCAAATTCGCTGAATTAATGTTTACCGCCGACAGCATCATATACTGATTGAAAATTAAACAATTGCAGGATACATTTCGAATAAAGACTCCGGGGAAATAGTCGGTTAAAGCATAAATTATCAGGGCCCATATCACTCAAGGTCACGGCGATAATGCACATGCCCTTTTTGTATTGAAGGTTCCCACACAATTAAAATTAGATATATTTAACATTTGAAGACATGAAATACTTAAGTTATCTGACTGAATATTAAGCAACCAGGGGTCTTAACTTCGGGTAAGTACCGTCAATATACACATCTCCGCTTGGTATTAGATGTACCCACATAGTTTTGTTTAAATTATTCAGCAGATTTGTTGAAGAATAGGGTTGAATTAATGCTTTTCTATGAACAATAAATGATAATAAATTATGGATCATAACTCTGTATTAAACGGCCAAACGGGAAATACTGATGATGATGAGGATGATGATGATGATGATATGCACATCTTGTTTGTTTGTTTATGTGTTTATCTAAAGTCGCCGCCGGAAAGCCCATATAAGCGACCGTACCCTCAAGTCGGACCAAATCCTTTAGTGTCCCGTCGAGATTTTTCGAGATGCGCATCTCCTCTTTATATTAAACTAAATTTCGTTGAAATTCCTAGAGCGCAGAAAAGCAATAGTTCTATATACAGTGTTTTATAAATAACAACAACAACAAGGGGCAATAAGTCTGTTTTTAAAAAGAAATGGAGATATGCTGGTTATATGTGCAACTGGTTTGTGAATGAAGGTTCCTACAAAGTTGCAGAATCGATATCCATCCAGAAGTTGCTGAAAAATAGCGTGGAAACGAAATGATTCCATATACAGTAATCAATGGCCGGATAGTGCGGAAACTAAATCTGGACTGACAGGCGGACGAACACGCTAAAACAGTCCCATCACTCCCGATTTCATCAGCGGGGGAGGGGATAAAAATGTCTGTAGTTTTAGTTCCAATAATTGATTTCAGTCCTAAAAATTTGTGACGTTTGTGACTCAGTGAAAAGCATTGAAGAAAACAATATTTATCTCAAATTTGTGACATTTGTGATTTTAAACTCGTGACGAATGTGATTGTCTAAAACATTGGATCACATGCATCACAAAATTTGTGACGAATGTGATCTCATTCTTCACAATTGTGACGAATGTGATTTGTGACACATGTGGCCTTACTCTGCTTTTTCAATGGAATAACTAAAGATATGACCACAAACATTGACATGTGCTCTTTTGTTAACAAACTTGATGTGAATCGAAATTTTTTATTGTATCCACTAATTTGATAACAAGAACTGGACATGTCAGGGATCTATGCATTAAATGTGTTTAGTTCCAACAAAAACATTTGATATTGATGTAGGTGATGTGAAACGTGAACCTATGAACAGAAAGCTGCGTGTGATATTAGCATAAAAGATGTAATGTTTGAATAGTGTCTTTTGCTAGAAATATGACATTCGTTTACTATTTATTCCTAGCATCCACTCAAGTATAAAGTTTATTTGATATGTTTTCAGATTGACGAATATAACACTAGTTTGTATGAAGGTGGTGTGTCATTTCGTAATGTGGTGCATGTGTAAGTTTAAAAATGAGCCGCGTCACGACAAAACCAACATAGTGCGTTTGCAACCAGCATGGATCCAGACCAGCCTGCGCATCCGCGAAGTCTGATCAGGATCCATGCTGTTCGCTATCAGTTTCTCTACTTGTAATAGAGTTGGTAAGCGAACAGCATGGATCCTGATAAGACTGCGCGGACGCGCAGGCTGGTCTGGATCCATGCTGGTCGCAAACCCATTATGTTGGTTTTGTCGTGACGCGGCTCAAAAAGGTCTTTAATAAAACGATTACGTTTTCTGTGGATTCTTATTGTTGTTTTTTTGCATTAATACATTTATAAAGTTAGAAAGTTATTAAATTCTCTCTATACTTTATGCTATTTTGTCTTCTTTTATTTTTCAATATATGTTAACATGTACATTTGTACTTTAAATTGATGAAATCATTTTGTGATTAAAAAAAGATTTATATATATATCCTTTTTTTTAATTTTTATTTATTTATTTGTTTATTTTAATTTTTATTCTTGTTTTTTTTTTTTATTTCTTTTTTTAAATTTATTTTAAGAAGGGTAAAGTTTTTGTTGTTCGAACTGCTGCTTATGCCAATCCTCTTCTCTTGCAGGTTTTCAAGTTGTATTTTATGTTCCTGGGTTTTAATGCCTTTTTAAGTTATCTTTTTGTGCTAAACTACTTGATAAATTGAGTAAATGCGAATGATTTGTAATGTGTAAGAAGTAGATTAAAAAAAATTAATATTATTAGGTTACAAATACCTTGAGGGTTATCCATGTGTTTTCTTTCATTTAATGAATGAATATCTATAAACGATATTTGTTCGTCACTCTTTATATGTTTATTATGATCATTAAAAAGCCATGAAACTAATGCTGAATGAAAAAGACATCTCAACAGCTGCTCTGAAAATAATAACTTTAAAATCGATTAGCTGTTTAAATGCATATATAAAGTATGATATGATATGAATATGATATGATATGTTATGTTGTTATGATATGATATGATATGAATTTGATATGATATGAATATAATATGATATAAATATGATATTATATATGAATATGATATGATATGATATGAATATGATATGATATGATATGATATGAATATGATATGATATGATATGGATATGATACGATATGAATATGATATGATATGATATGAATATGATATGATATGAATATGATATGATATATGATATTTGAATATGATATGATGTGAATATGACATGATATGATATGGCATCACATCACGTCACGTCACATATAAGTTTATTGTCTCAATCTACACAAGAATAACCAACTGAATGAAATATATGGGGGGGGGGATAACAAAAACAAAAAACAATCATATGTTTTCATATGTTATGAGCATTTTCTTACTTTAATTTCAAGTCCACACAGAGAAGATATTGATGTTGTATATACATGGGTCAACGGATCAGAGAAAAAATTCAAGCAAGACCTGGATGAGTACATTTCTCTCATTAGGAAGGCAAGGTATGACGTTACGTAAGTGTCTGACCTTGACCTTTAATGACCTTGATATTAAAATCAGTAATAACCGTGAAGATGTCATAGATTTGATTACATTCTAACATATATATACAATAAAGAGAACAAATTTTTGCATTAATTATTTGCGTGTCTTCTAAGGTTTATTTTTACTCTGACCTTTTATGACCCTGGCATTAAAATCAGAAATAACATTGACGATGACTCATTCAAGAGATATACTAAAATAATGTTAATTTCTTTCTGTTAAAACGGATAACAGGGTGACCGAGAATTTCAGATCATTGTTCTAGAATCACTTGTCCCCCCCCCCTTATTACCTGTTGGATAAAGTCGTCAACTAGGGAAAATATATCCAGCTAGTCTTAGGAATGTCAATTGTTCTACTCAGGTGCCTGAGATGAAGTCAAAAACGCACGATGTCTTCATCAACCAATTAAAGCTTATGGCGTTTACAATTATGTTGGTTTAATTTTCAATTTATATTGAGCACAAAGAAAATAGTTTGCATGAACTGTCTGTGTGTTTTCTAAGGTTCATTTGTCATCTTCTCAACATTATCATAATGTTATCTGTTTCGTTCAAACTTTTGCTAATTATTTAAGGAACTCCACTAAGATCCAAAGGTCTATAAACATAAAATATGAATTATTTACAAAAAAAATCTGCTGGGGTCATACAAAAGATAAATAAGAAATATATTCAAAAATAAAATGGTATGTATGTACTATTTATAGCCGGAGCTGAGAGTTAAGCGTTGCAACGCTTTACATCTTTTGGTCGTTTTTTTTTTCACAATTAGAATCATTAGTTTTGAAAAATCTGAGCGAGTGAATGATCTGAAATTTTGCACACAAGTTATTGGTCTAGACCTACATCAAACGGAACACTCATCTTGAAAAATTATTTCCAGCCCGTCATGTCATGAACCTCAGTGCAGTCCCTTTAAAGTTCATACGTCAAAATAATTAAAAAATTTGTGTCTATGATTGAACATGTAACTTTTATTTCAATTCTGATATATCCATTTACGACATTTTCAAACGTTGTTTTTTCAGAGCAGATGTACTGGCACTGAATAGATATTTTGACTATGGAACACTGAGATATTCATTGAGGTCCATAGAAAAATACGCAAACTGGGTCAGATATATTTACCTCGTAACGAATGATCAGATACCAGACTGGCTTAATAAAGACAACCCTCGGATCAAAATTGTTACTCATAAGGTATATCTTAAAAGATTCCAGCTTGTTTCGATTTCGAGTTTTTTTCTGTGGCTCTAACTTTGAAAATTTGACCATTTGTTCATTATTTAATAGTGAATTAGTGTATAAAGTAAGGTATTAAATACTCTAAATAATAAGTTATGATAGTATTCAAGTTTACTATCATATGTAAAAATAAATCACGAACGAGTTATAAGTGGACAATGTTGGCAGGAGTTAGATACATGATCTGATATATGAAATATCTATATATAGCAGATAATAATGTGTTCTAGAACACATTATCATAATCATTATCATAATTCATCATGATATATGTTCATCATATAAATGTTCATACTAAATCACTTTAGAACTATATTAACAGATTGTGATTTCCAAAAAATATTTCATATGATTATCCAAATGATACATTTCTAATGTTTTTTAACCTACTTTTAGAATACTTACGAAATATGTGCCCATTGAAAAATTACATACAAAACCTTTTTTATGTAAAAGATTACCATAAATTCTCGTATTTATTATGTTGTTTAAATCTCAGTATGTTTAAGTACTAAGTATAGTCACGTATAGACACAGCATGATTGTGTTCATGTTTGTTGCTTTAATCTCAGTCTATATTTGTATCATAAACATGTATCATTATTATTTGGTTCACAGTATGTGCTTGGTTACATCCTTGTTTGTCTTTTTACAGGAATACAAAATCTTTCAGATTTCTTTGTTTAAAAAACTTATTATTTTGTTAATGGTACCGAATACATTTTCGCATATATTTTGGACATTCAGTTTTCAATGTTTAACATTTGTTGTAAGTCAGCGTTTTCACAAGGGTTACATGTACATGTACTGGCTCTTTTGCATCAAACAAATGGTTACTAGGAAATGTTCTTTTCAATTTGTTACACATTAATCCATGCTTTTAATGTCGAATATAAAGTTCAGTATGCGTTCAATATCAACTTCATTTAGAGATAATGTTTCATAATTAGTATTTTGACAAATTTGCGCATTGTTGCTTAGCAACAAATCCGATTAATAAATGCAAGGGTGTTGATAAGTTATTATAGCTAGACATAAGCTGATTAATCTATTATAATTAATACTATTGGAAACTAGTACTTAATTTGTTTAAAAAGCTAGATTATAAACAAAGAGAAATTGCATTATGTTACCATAGTATCCTTATCATTATTTTTGTTACTAAACACAACATTATAAGTTGTAAAATGAAAAAATACGTTTTGTTTCTCAACGATTAATCATTTATTCTGACAGTAGTTCTTGACATTTTAGAAAACCTCACAAATGTACGGCAATACATTTTATGTCTAACCTAACAAAGCGCTTCTTTTTATTTATTTAAAGATTAAACCATTAATTTTTACTTTATTTCTTTAAATTTGACATCAGTTATGCCATACATACATTTACAACAGGGCATTTCTTTACTGTATTTCTTGAACTTTGTAGTACTATCACAAAAACGGGACGAACGCATTTTAAAATGTTTGTTATTGCAGGAGATATTTCTAAACAAAAGTCATCTTCCGACGTTCTCTTCACCGGCAATAGAATGCCACATACACAACATTAAAGGACTTTCAAACAATTTTATATACATGAATGATGATATTATCTTAACATCAAGACTAGAACTTTCTGACTTTCTCACTGAAGACGGCAAATATGAGGTAATAAGAAATTATTATTATTGCTTTTTTATTTTCTTGCAATCACTGTAGTTTAAAAGTACATACAACGTTTTTATTATAGTGCACATTTGAGACGTCGGTTTTAGAGGTATAATTGTGACTTTTATATAATATGTTTACACAACTGCTGTAAATTTAAGAGGTACCAAAGCAAGTAGTTGTGCAAATAGACAGTACTATAACACGTTATATGACCGTGAATATGGTGAATTAATGATTGTTGCCAATATAACAATCGCCTTACGATCGGGTTATATATGCATAAAACCGTTTATATTGAACCATATAACAGTCAAGTAATCTAGATCTATAGCATTAATATATACATGTACAATGTTTTGTATAAATTTGTGCACCTTTATAGAAAGTTTGTTTTTTTAGAAATAATTGAAATATTTTATTTATGATAATTATCATCATCACCGTTATCATCATCATTTCATCATTTCATCTTATATTTTATTATTATCATTATCATATCAGTATTTTAAGAACACTTTGATTAATTTGAACATTACCAGCTCCGTTTCATGCACGAGAAACTGGAACGCTGTAACAAATTGTGTGCCTCTAACAACGTTAGCAATGGTGTTTGTGAACCAGAGTGCAACACCGCCAGCTGTGAGTGGGACGGTGATGATTGTGCAGGGAAAAAAGTTCCGACATATACAGAAAATGACAGATTTTTTATGTTCGACAGTTGGATGGGCTCGATGATGCATGCTCATTTTCTCTTCAATAAAGTTTTTGGACCAGCAAATAGATACATACCGGAACATGGACCTCACATGTTTAATAGAGACATTCTTCGTTTGCTGCAATATAGGTTGTATTTTCATCTAGATATGACCAATTAAGTTATGAATTAACAGCTAATTGAAAATTTTTATGCAAGCTCTAATCACATTATGCCGCAAAGCGAAGAAAATTTGTTTAAAAATAATAAAAAAGTTGATGGAGAACTAATATCAAATATGTAGCACCAGCATCAGAAGTAGCAACGGCAACAGTAGCAGTAGCAGTAGTTTTGTTTTAAGTAGTAGTATAAGTAGTTTTGCTGCTGCTGCTGCTGCTGCTGCTGCTTATGTTGTTGTTGTTATGTTTTTGTCTTCTTAGCTTTTTGAAAGATATTTCCTTCAATTTTGTTGACCACTATAGGCTTCTTATCATCAAGACATTGCGCCACAGTTTTTCTTCTTCATTTATTTATTTATTTTTTATAGTTTCCTATACGAATGGGACAAAACATCTTCAATCAAAATCCGGCATCATCTAACGATGCAATATCAGTTTGCTTACAATAACTTCCTACTGACATTGGAGGAAAACGGACTTGTTAATGTAAAAACAAATTTAACGTAAGTATATTTTATTGCTAGTACTTGAAAAAATTATCAGTTTTCAACAAACATACATTCAACAATAAAAGGGTCCTCTTGGTATTTTCTGTTCTTATCCACTTCCAGTGTATAAATGTTATCATATGTACTGTATGTGTATGTTCTTAAATAAAAACTGTTTAAACTAAACTGATCATTTTATATATTCTGTATATGAAAATGTGTCCACCTCACATATTTGTCTCTACATGAAGGGTTATTTCAACCAAACAATAGCAAATTTTGTCTCTATCACAAATATTTCCTTCTCAATCAACATCTTTTAATTACCCCAAAACGGAAAACAATTGTAGCATACTGTGATGGAAACCAAACATTATCTGATATTAGATTTTTCATGCTTCACAAAAAAACAATCGCACTATTTTACTTTAAAAAACTTTCCGGATGTTTCTTTACATCTTCAGATTTGTAAAGGAGTGTTGTAACAAGGATATCCTTGAATTGGATAATAGAGATGTGAACGCTAGAAGAAAACAGCTTGACGAAGCCAAGAAAAGACTTCAACTTCTGTAAGTTAAAATAATAAACCCATTTTAAACTGTTTCTACTTTTACTCTTTCGTGACCAAATGAACAAAACAGTCCTGCGTTCCAGCGGTTTAATCTCAATATATCTCGATATATCATTGCGACATTAAAACAAAGTTTCTTTGATGTTGTCAAATGATTGTTTTAGTTGCACTATTAAAAGTATATACAACAATATTTAAATACCATATTCTTCTGAGGCAGAGAGAACGAAATGTTCCCCCTGCGACATTTCATGCCAACCAAGTCGTTAACCATGGGTGACACTATCTTATAAAGGGTGAACATTTTGTTCTATCACCTGCTGTAAGATATTAAATTCATTTTCTTATACCGAACAAAAACATAATCAAGAAAGACATGTAATAACTAATATGCTCGTGAGGACCGTTTGATACTGTCAGCGACCCGAAAAGCAATGTTGCCGGCTTGTTTCCCCATAAAGTCACATAATGTTATATAGTAATTAAATCACGAGAGTTATAATAATGAGATATTTATTACATAAAAAGCATGGCACTCCGGTCATTTTACACTTCTTCACAATGCAACAGTTTGTGAACATCAATCATGGCATGGAGATTTTTGTTTAGAAAAATTCAATTAAACAATTAATCCTATTTATGTATGATACAATAGTTTTGCATAAACCGAGCGCACACATTTGCACATAAATAGAGAAGAAAACGTGCATTACGCGATAAATAACATATTTAACAAACATCATCACATTTACGTGTTAATGGCATTACATTACAGTTTCTTCATATGAAAAAACAAATAACGAATATCAGAAACATCGAATAAAACATACTTTTATGCAAGTATAGATAGCGCAAATGTACCTCTTTCGTGCCTTTAAATCTGATTCAGACTTATAAAAACCATCACCATGCATATGCACCCGTGTGCTTTTTCACATAATACTGCACGAGTACGGGTAATGGCCCATTAACCCTCTATTGACATCAGATAATATCAACTTATGACAGGGATAAATGAATGAATGTTCACATTAATTAGTCATACGACTGACGGTTTACTATTAAAGATTATTTATTCAAGATAGATTATAATCGTTACAAATATCTTTAATGCGCTTCCTTGAACTACTAGTATAAAAAATTATATTTTATTGTCATATGAAGAAACATTGTCGTGGTCCTTATAAGGCTCTAACCCACAGTCTCTCGGTAGATTGACAAAGGTAGATATATTAAGCATGGTACCATCGTTCCACTTTGACAAAACGAATATATGAGCCGCGCCATGACAAAACCAACGTGATGGTTTGCGACCAGCATGGATCCAGACCAGCCTGCGCATCCGCGCAGTCTGATCAGGATCCATGCTGTTCGCTTACAAACCATATAACAAGTAAAGAAACTGATAGCGAACAGCATGGATCCTGATCAGACTGCGCGGATGCGCAGGCTGGTCTGGATCCATGCTGGTCGCAAACCCAATTATGTTGGTTTTGTTATGGCGCGGCTCAATTATTTAGTTATGTTTATCTATATATCTGCAATAGAACAATGACAGTTATAGCTCTATTGTATTCTTTTCATTTCAGAAAACCCAAGTTCCTGGTCATCACGACACGGTTTTTACAAATGATGTATGAAAATGACAGGGATGTTCTTGTAAATGACATTACAAATTTCCTACATGAACTTTTTCCGACACCGTCGCTGTATGAAATATCTTGATGCAGGCTCTTTGATTAGTTAATTATATTTAGAAATATTTAAGAAAAACGGAAACTTGTATAACGGCAAATATCGTCTTATTTCAGGAAATATTGTTACATTAACTAAGCCGCTTTTTCTTTCTTTTCGTAAACCTATTTTTGGTATTATTGTCACGTGACAGGGTATTTCCCACTGTGACGTCATAATATTAGAAACTATCAATATGGCGGCTTGCATACTTGCTCAAAAGGGTCCGTATCATAATTATTAAAAGAAAAGGAAATTCCGAGATTAAAACTGGTATTACTTAAATCGCATTTGTTGAACAGTAAAGGTTCAGTTAAAAAAATATACATGTACTTGCAGCATAATCTTAGATGAAATAAAGGTGTACAATTGTGTTAATTCCAAGGCATTACATATGCTTAACAATCTAAATTGAGTTTGCATTTATGATGCTAGCAATATTGATTTAAGATATAACATAATTGATACTCCATTAATTATAATAGAAGATTTGTCAGGCTGTTACATTATAATCAATGATGTTTATTCATCATGGTATCCAGTGTATGACGTCATAACTTCGTCATTATGCATTTTTTTTTCATTATTTATTTGTTCATCTATTTACTTGATATTTATTCATTTACATCACGTATCTTTTCATGTCTTTACGTCCAACAGCATTTCATGGATACAAGGATAAATGATACGTACTTTACCTTTTTATTCCAAATGTGTGTTAGTGTGATGGTGTGCTTGTTTGCTGGTGCATGCGCATATGTAAATATAGAGGATCTAATTGAGCATATGAGTAATTCAGTACTTTGATTAAATTATGGTTCATGCAAAAATATCTATAATGAACAATAGATCATTTTGTTTCCTATTGCTTTACAGTTGATTTAAAAGTCTCTTTTCTGGTGATGAATTTCCTTTTTAACCATTATAAGTCCATGAAAATGGTAATGTTGGCAGCCTTGCGGTCTAGCTGCGTAAAGTTAGTGATTTAGATAGGAGCTACGTTGGAAAATGGCTTATAATCATTTGCTGGTGACATAAAAAGCACATATGAAATGACAAAAGAAATCTAACTGTTTAAAGGTGGCAGACTTTTAGCCTAAATAAAGTGATAATGGTCAGTTTCGATAGTTACTATATTACTCATAAAGGTCTCCCCTTGTGGCTGAGAGGTTGGCTTTAAGGACTGAGCCATCATAATTTTAGCCACCGTTTATCCTTGCGTGATCACAAATTATCGGAATCTATGACTCTCTTAGCTCCAGCAGGTGGGGTGGTTTTGACCCCTGCTGTTTCTTTAACTTTGTAACAGCTTAGGTTAGTCAAAATCATCTCTCCTGATGCGGCTCCATATCACATAAATTGTGCACCATAAAGCAAAACACCGATTAAGGTCAATAACTATGACTGCTACACTGCCAACATCAAGTTTCTTGGGTGCCAGGCTGTTTTGGAGCATAAGTTAGCTCATCTGAGCTTTAGCAGCACAGAGGTGATTTTTTATATCACATATGCTTATAATGTTCTTTCAAGTGATAATGCATTTTCGAACAGTTCTGTTAAACAGTATGTCATTAAATTTAAGCTGCTAGACTAAGTGCGTTATGCTGCCAACTTAACTGGCATTTTCAACAGTATCATTATTATTCGGTCTATTATAATTATAATCATAATAGTTATCATTATTACATGTACCATATTCAAAATTACAGTTATAATCATTCACATGGAAATGCTTTGATAGAATGTGATTTATAAATGTATTAGAAAATCTTTATGTATGATAGCTCTATGAGTGTTTGGATTGTTTTACATTATATTAATGTTTCCTTGTTGCCTTTGTAAAATAAAATATACATGTTAATTCATTAATAGTTGTGTTAAACCTTTTTAAACATATATATGCTTTTTTCTACACTCCCGCCTTCTCGCCCCTTCCTGGCCAAATTCACCCTTCCATACCTTCCCTGCCCCCCTCTCCGTCTTCCCCATCCTCCGTGCCCCCCGTACTTGGGTCCTTTCAACCAAAAAGAAATGACTGACTAAACATATTACCATATTTCCTTGATGAAAAAGCCATTGTTTTCCAAATGTAAACCCTTAACCTGCTGGAACTTGAAGTGACCAATACACTACCTGTCTCTATGTTGACTATGTTGTCTCACCAACCTTTATTCCGTTCGTGGCTTAATTTTGTACCTTTAGGGAGTCTGTATTCTCTATTCTATTACAGAAAATGTCATTATTACTTGAAGCGTATTTTGTCGTAAATGCGTGTCGTAATGACATGACATTTTCGTTTTAATACTAAATATACACATTCATACATCTGTCACCTATAAATGGCCATGAATCTTATTTCTAGATGTAGATTAACACCTGACTGTTGTTTTGTTATTGTTAAAACTCCATGTCCTTAAACAAGTACATGTATGTTCTTTTTCTAATACAGCTGATCCTTGTTTTCCATGTATAAAAGCAGGAGTTCAGCTCTTAAGTGAATAAAATATCAAAGAAAAATAATTTGATTATTACCATTAAATTTTACTGATCCCAAATTGATTCAAATGCAAGGATTATTGGTGCCCAAGTAATGTTATATGTCCTACGGCCAGATTTATACCATTTATGTTATTTCATTTATTTAAGAGAGATCAAAGGGTATAAAGCTATTGCTAGTGAAATATTTTATATCACTAATCAACAGAAAACTTATATAAAGTAGTTTCGATTTTCTTATGGTCGATTCCGTTTAGCAATGAATTCGATTACGCATCATTTGCTTTAAGGGAAATATACAGACATATTCCTTTCATAAAGGCATTTCAGAAGTATTATTTTTTCAAAATGAATATGGCTTTGTACACTTTAAACAAGAAGTTTCTTTAAAAAGATACTCGGCCGAACTAAAACTGTTTTGTTTTTTTTGCATATCGTACATGTGTCATAGGAAACATGGAAAAAAAATCATAAGAATTATGATGTTGAACCTAGTATTGAAATTTGCGTTTAAATTTTTGAAATATTAAAATCATATGCATATGTTGGCGAATACATTTTTTTTAAAAATAGAAACAAAATCCTAAGTCTGAGGTAAATCCTTTAAAAGTAAAGAAGATGTAAATAAGAACTACAAACAAAACAATTTATTTCGTACTCAATTGTTTTGTCTCAGTTCATTTTTACCGTCATATAATTCTTTTATTTCTATTATTGTGAATGTCGTTTCAACTCAACGGAAAACATTTAAGTTATTGAAGGTTGTTTCAATCGAAATTTTAATTAAAATTTTATAAATGACAACGTTTTGTTGATACGAAATACCCGAATCAACAGATTTGCAACACCTTTGGAAATAACGAAAGGAAGCTAAAATCTGAAAAAGAACCGAAAGAGAGCCTCCTTATCTTCAATACTTTGGCAAACATTTATTATAAACAAACCATTCAATCGTTAGCTGTTATAAATATACTCAACAAAAATAGAAAACTGACACTTTTTTTTTTTTTTTTTTTTTTTTTTTTTGATATTTTCTAATTTTTGATTTAAATCAAAACATGTGAAGTGAGTATTCATGTACTATAGATACACTATACATGTTTTTTGTTTTGACCGCGTGTTGTCAGAAGAATGCATCTAAGCGTAAAATTTTAGTTTTTGCACGTGAACCCCGTGCATGCTGAACAATGTCAGATAGACAGCGATGTAAGGCACTATACATATGTTCAGTAACAATTTAGTGTTATTCACACCTAAAGTTGATAGTTTTCACAATGCCACGTTTATCAGAAGCAGAGAGAAATCAAGCAATAGGAATGCTGCTGGATGGGTCACTGTTGTTGACTGAGTAGAACGTTTAACTTCAGTCGCAACACAGTTCGTGAACTTGTAAGACTTACAGGTGATGTGCACGATCGTCCAAGGCCAAAAGAGGTCCGACACACTTGGGTGTGTTCATATATAGTGTAATTAACTTACACAAGCAATTTGACAAAAATATATAGACAAATATTTTATATAGAGACAATGGATGTAACTCTAACATTACCCTATCACTGACAGTCTGTGAAAAACAGTCCACAATATACATAAATATCACTTTAACTTTTCATTTCTCTGCTTATCACAATGTTATACCATGCTGATCATTTTAACTACAGCTTCAAATAATTCATGCAATCCGGTAATGTTTAATAAAATGTTTACCTTTCCCAAAATTGTCCAAAATGAAGTTCATTTACACGAATGTGTCCACATACACTCTGCCTGTAAGCATGCGTTTCCGTGATGATTTCCAGCTATTGACCGATACAGTTCGTTGAATAAACTTGTTTGCGATATATTTTCACCTATAGTCTTACACAAAACACTAAACACAGCCGATATACTTAACATCAATTTCTGAAAAATTGACACTTGCCATTGTCATTTTTGATTTCATGTGACTGTAATGTAACACGATTTTTGATTGGTCTTTGTGGATGCTCACAATAATAGTTTCCCTTGATATCTGGTATCTAGCCAATCGGATTATAACTTTCATCGGCGGAAATGTCAAAGTCACGTGACTTCCAATCAGTCTGCAAATGGCGTAAGGGTTCAAAGGGAGGTAACTGTTGCTCTCCAAAAATAAGTTGATGAGAGTTATCTCCCCTGATAAAAATGCAAATGGCGTAAGGGTTCAAAGCGAGTTAACTGTTGCGCTTAAAAAAGTTTTTTAGAGTGACTTCCCTTGAAAACATTGCAAATGGCGTAAGGTTTTAAAAGGGAGATAACTGTCGCGCTCAAGGAAGAGTCGGTTTAAGTGACCTCCCCTGAAAACATTACAAATGGCGTAAGGTTTCAAAGGGAGGTAATCGTAACTGTTGCGATCAAAAATCTTTTTAGAGTGACTTCCCTTGAAAACATTGCAAATGGCGTAAGGGTTTGAAAGGGAGGTAACTGTCGCGCTCAAGGATGTGTCGATTAGAGTGACCACCCCTGAAAACATTGCAAATGGTGTAAGTTTCAAAGGGAGGTAACTGTTGCGCTCTAAAGATTTATTAGAGTGACTCCCCTTGAAAACATTGCAAATGGCGTAAGGGTTTTAAAGGGAGGTTACTGTTTTGTTTAAAAAGAGTTAGTTAGAATGACCTCCCCTGAAATCATTACAAATGGTGTAAGGTTGCAAAGGTAGGTATCTGTTGCCTTGAAAAAAAGAGTTGATTAGACTGGCCTACCCTGATATTATTGCAAATGGTGTAAGGGTACCAAAGGGAGGTTACTGTTGCGTTCCAAAAACGTTGCTTAGAGTAACCTGTTCTGATAACATTACAAATGCTATAAGGGTTCCAAAGAGAGGTTACTTTTGCACTTAAAAAAACAGTTCTTAAGAGTGACCTCCCTTGCTAACTTTCTTATACTAAGCCTTTCCTAAATAGAATTTAATTTCTCTTAATTATAATTTTGAAATATGCCTTTGTTGAGATTTTCGACCATGCGACCACATACATGCATCGAGGACATGTTTGAAGGAAAGTGACCGTGCGACCACATACACGCATCACAGGATTCCCCTTCTCTTACGAAGAAGGGACAAAGAGATGTCCGCCCTTTAATTAAGGGCAGACTTAAAAAAATGCCTTTGCCTTATGTTATTGATAAGGAGGCTAATTTTCACAGATATGTCTTGAATTGGTTTATATACAACATTAGTAACGCAAACCAAGCGGGTTATCAGTTTACGTCTTTTTAAGTCCGCTTTGAAATTTTAAAAAGATCATATATAACTTCTTGGAACATTTTGAGTTTAAAGTTTTTTCTACTTCTCATTAAATTAATGTTTATGAATATAACAGAATTATTTTAATTTTGCAAAACATGAACGTTTCGAAAACGTTTTATATGCGTTAAATATTGGAGATATATTTCACACGTAGTTTTCACATATTAACCTCGGGGCATTTTTGCCGAATTACTGTCCAAGGACAATAACTTGAGCCTATGTTTACATAAAAATTAATAACAATGCAAAAAAATAGGTAAAGCAGACTGAAGCCTAATGAATGAAACACAAAGTAAAACGTGCCTTGATAGCGGAGTAGGCAGAGCTTCCGTGTCAATGTTGTTTCATGCTCGAATCATAGTTAGGTACCAATACATTTGAGTGGTTTATGTATCGTTTTCTTATCTGACCAATTTGTTATAAATGCATGAGATAGAGTATTTTTGTACGCATGTTGATATGCAGTTGTGTTAAGTTTGGGGAAAACGCCAAACATCGGGAAAAAGCGTTATCAAAATGTAAGAAATATAATGAAATGAAGTGTACTCTATATTGATCCGTATAATATTCAAATTATATAATATATAATGTGTTATACATGTGAAATTTCTTTGTTTTAGCGCCATTGCTTATTGATGTAATGAGCTAGTTTTGCAAAGTTCCAATTTTATTTTAACATGGTTTATTATTTATGCTTTAATGTTTTAAAGGACGAACTTATACTATAGGACGTTACCTGAATATACGTTGTGTGTTGAATATGACAGGCAATTTTAGTACGACACCATTTTCACGGCATTTGTATGGTAATTTTGTTAACAGACACGAAACATTTTTTGTACAACCCCCTTTTTGTTAGTGATTTTTTAAATTTGATAATCATTGTTTTTATAATATTACGTCTCATCCTGAACAAATTAAAATGGTCAAAATGTGTAAAAAATAAGCCTTATTAAACACGACAGAAACATGACATTCAGCCAACGGCGAAAAACAGAACAGTGTAGCATTTTCGTTCATTACTTAACTATTATTACGATATTTCTATGCAAATTCAACTTTAGATTTCAACATGTTGGTAAAGAGTTTTGCAGTAGCCAAAAACAGGAAGGAAAAATCTCGAATAAAATTTAAGCTCACAAGCCTGGAATAGAAATTTTAAATCTGAATGAAAAAAGAAGGAAAATAACAACAAAAGTTAAAAATAATTATAAATAGCTGGGTCACATTAATATAAAAAGAAAAACATTTAAGTAATTGAAGTTTATTCCAATCAAAGTTTAAATTAATAGTTTATAAATGACAACGTTTTGATGATAAGAAATATCCGAATCAACAGATTTGCAACACCTTTGGAAATAACGAAAGAAACCTTAAATCCGAAAAAAAAAGAATCGAAAGAAAGCTTTCTTATCTGAAATAATTTGACAGCATTTATTATAAACAATCAATTAAATCGTTTGCGGTTAAATTAATACTTCATAAATATGCAAAATATATGAAAAATATAAACTTTGTATATAACTGATAATACCAGATAAGTTCGTTTTCTTGTGTGGTTTTTGCTATTTTCATGCACATGAGTAAACGGGAAAGTGGACGTTCTTGGTGGTTTCGTTTATGTTTGACAAAATTTATAACTCGACAGCGTAAAATAACCTGCAAGATGCGTGACAATACAGAACTTATAATGTGTAGGAGAAAGCATGGTTAAACAGAATATATAAATATAGTAAAAGAACTTATGAAAGTAGAAAGTTCGTTTCCAGACTCCTTTAGATCAATTAAAAAATAAGACGCGTATACAATGTCAGAAAAAAATTCTTTATGTCATTTTACTAATTTGACAATGGCCAATCAGATTCCGTGATTTTAGATTGTTATTTTAAAATGACCAATGAAATTTTTACATAAATATAGTTCACCCCTGTAAATTTAACAGGAAGTCAAACTGAAAACAGACCGGCCTTCGGCTGGAAGAATTAGTTTTAAATATGCTGTACCTATATTTATAAAAGAAAACGTTAAGAGGAAATAATGTTGATTCATTACCTATCACAGCTTTGAACATGTACTGCCTATCAAGCAGTCAGTGGACAGTTTTACCTGACCCAGACACCGTCGGCGTGAAATAAAGTTGGCACACACACAAATAGTTAATTGACATGTAAATACAAAGTGTAATACAATGATCCATATTTTGTTAGTTGCGATATTGGGGACTAAAATCAAATTTCTGCCTTCCTTCGCTGTCTTTAGTACAGGTATAGATATAGAGGAAGGGAATTAATAAAATGAACACAATGACAGAAAGACAGAAACATTTTATTGCCGTTCAGTTTTCTTGTCATACATTTTACATATATACACACATACATTGGTCAATTGGTTAAACAAAGAATAAACAATAAACACATTTTTACTACATAAATAAATTTCTTGGAGGATGAATAAACAACTTATATTTCTTATTTAATGACAATCTGAAGTTTTACTTTGAAATTCGTAAATTACTGCAAACAATTTTCCTTACAGTATATAGATGCTATATGTATGAGTTTCGCCAAATTTACAACAAACGGGAATCCCTTAAGAATTCATAAAACGACAAATTTAAAAATGTTGTGGGCTCGGTTTGATTGTATTGCAATTCACACATTTCAAGATATTTTACATATTTCATTACATTTGGTATACGTAAATCTGGGTTCATAAAGACGGGAGTGGTTTCAGTTGAACTTGCATGGAAACATATGTTACTGAAATCTTTGCTGCGTTGAATACAAACTCAGCACACGTAACATCTTTCTTTCTGTATAAACAAGAACAAATATCAATACCAGCTCACCATATGTTGTAAATCGATGCTTTATGTTATATGCCATCAATGATAAATATAAAATATGTTTTTACATATAAAATTGTATTTTATATAAAATTGTATTGTTTATTTTTTTATCGATGTTCGCCAAATTTCCGCGCCGTATGATGTAAATTGCTTTGGTGCGCCGTAAAACCAAACTAAACAAACAATAAAAAAAGTTTTAGTAAAAGTTAAAGGAACTCTGAAATAGATGAAAAGGAATAGCTTGTATTAAGACAATCCCCTTTGAACATTCATTTTAATGTTATGTTTTTGTTTCTTGAAACAGGAAAAACTTATTATGTGCAATGGCAATTTCTATTCGTTATAAAAATAATTAAATACATGTATATAATTGAATGTTAATTTGTATATGTTCTTTTCCATGCATTATGGCAGGATGTTCAGCTCATATTTTCACATATATAAGTGTATTAAGCTGTTTCTTTTAATCACTTAAAGTTACAAGTTCACTTACATATATATTTATTGCTGAACTTAGCAATTCAAAGTCCTATACTAAAAAGGCCTTCATATATGTACATCTGTTCAGTAAAGTTCAATTGTTCTACAGAATTGCTATTATTGCTTTTTTCAAAATCATTTCTATAAGTGTACTCATTGGCGGCCATCAAACAGAGTCGAGCCAACATTTGCTTCCTTTGCGTTATAGCAATTAGTACACTGTTTGCACTTTGCTAACCTATGTGGCAAATCATTTCTCATTCGGTGCGATTTTACTAAGCAGGTGATGTTCTTAGTCCACTATTTCAACATTACAAAACACATTTTTGCCCTTCCTCCAGAATATTTCACTCCCTATTGCGCATTTTATTACAAAACAAAACAGCAAAGTTCATATTTATATCACATTAACCTACATCAATGTACAAAATGTAATCATCTATGAATTTTTTTCTAGTTTATTAATTACTAATCATATATGAAGTATTTAGATCTAATACCTAAAACTAAACCTTGCAGATGTTTAAATGATGACTGGGAAAAGCTAGATTTTTAATTAAATACTAGACACTAGGCTTGTCAGTTCAATCTGTTCTTCAAATATTGATGGTTCTGGTAATAACTTATCAAACAATGCGTGAATGTCCTTTTCAATAACCCTTATTCGCTCTCCGCTTATATGTTCTTTAAATTTGTTGACAGCAATTAGAAACTGTGGTTTTCTGCAAAAGAAATCAAAATTTTCAGTATGTTAAACAGGAACAAAAAGTTAGAACAAAAGCATTGTATATCAACATTATGGGTAAGTTAAACAAGAAAAAATTGTTTGTGTATCAACATAAATAGTAAGTTTAATAAGAACAAAAAGTTAGAACAAAAAGTATAGGAACAAAAAGTATTGTATATCAACATAATGAGTAAGTTCAATAAGAACAAAGAGTTAGAACAAAAAGCATTGTGTATAAACATTATGAGCAAATTTAACAAAAACAAAGTGATAGAATAAAAAAAGCATTGTGTGTTACCATTATGAGTAAGTTTAACAAGAACAAACAGCAAAGCAATGTATGTCAACATTATGGGTAAGTTAAACAGGAACAAAGAGTACAAAAAAGCAATTGAAAATCATATTTGCATGTAATATCACAAATTGTATATGTTTAGGTGTTAGTAATCTTAATTTTGAATTTAGAGTGAAAAAAAGCACTTAGTATAAAGATGTAATAGGATCGATATTTATCATCACAAATGTCTGCGCGAAAACAATGTATGCTAAATTACGTGACAACTAATAAGAACTAGACTTAGCGTTCACACAAGGAGTATAACAATTATGTGTTTTTAATAAAGGAGATGCAAACTTTAAATGAAAAATATGTCAAAGTAAATATGTCGTAAATGTTAATCATTACAAATTTATTTATTTCTATATCAATAATTTGAAGACTAATGGACCTAATGCATAATTTAACCAACACAAAACTTAATACAATATTTAATACCAAGACGCTGATCTATGTATATGAAAACTATGAAAAAGGGCCTTAAGGGATGCGTTTTACATCGTTCCAACACAGTATAGGTCATATGGAGACTTTCCAGCTGCTTTGCTGGTTGAGGAAGTACTCAGGTGCCCTTCTGTGCATTTATATCAGTAAGATTATTATTGATTATTAAAAAAAGCGGCCTGATATTGATTATATAGAGGATTATTTGAATGAGTGTAATTCAATACACTTGAATTTATTGCACCGAGTTGAATAAAATTATATTTTGCGAGCCCTCTTGGCACGTGAGGTTGCACCTAAATTATTATTTTATTTCAACCTGGTAATTTATTGACCACGAGTTTGATAAAATTATATTATGCGAGCCTTTGGCGAGCATAATATATATTTTTCAACACGAGTGCAAAAAATTCAGTAATGAACTTACACGAATAGTTAATATTCTATTTTCACATTACCCAAAAATAAAGACAATTTTTAAAGGTGAAATAAGAAGTCATTTTCATTGACGCGCCTATAGTTATAACGCTAAACATTTTTTAGCACGTCTTTACCACTATGTTTGTATAACGCTAATGACGTCACGTCAAAATATATGCACGGCCATGCAATACCATATTTACGGAGTCGTAAAATCGGCACGGGTGTGTGATAAAACAGGTTTTTTAACTATTCTTTAAATTAATGTTCTCTAATAACGGTCTTTACGAAAATTAATGAAAATTGGGGAAATACCCCAATAAGCATTTAGGGTGTTTCCATTCTAATCATTTTCTGTATTGATTGTAAGTGTCATTCAAAATTTGTTCTTGTATATGACAAATAAAATATGTTTCAACCAATAAAAAACGTATTGAAAACATGCATTTATAGGTAAAATTCAATTCAGTCTATCTGGATTGCATACTGTAAGCTGTGTCATACGGACACCGTAAATAAAAATTCCCTAATATGCAAACTATTTAAAGGAATTGCACATCACAATGTTATCGAAAAATTAAAATAATGTCATGTACTTAAGCTCGATGTCCTTTTTTGTAGTCTTCAGTTGTTGCCTTCTTTCAAAATCATTCTTGCTGTCTATTGTAAGCATTAAATATCTCCAGCTTTCAGTGTTTTCTCTGCCGAAAATAAAACACACTTCTTTTTTTCTAATTAAAGTCTAATTATGAGAAGAACTCATGTGGCTTCAGTAAGATTGTATCATTTAAATCTAAAATGAATAAACTGATCGACAAGGGAAAGCCACACATACGGAACGCACTTTGTCGTCATCGGGCCACGAAGGACCACCGGAAAGGCACCCTGCTGGAAACCGACCAGACATGATATAGATATTATTGAGTGACTACAATGTACTTATATTTTTATACCTTTATAAATACCGTATGCCTGAAAATCGTTACATTGGTGTTATGCGTAAGTAAGGTAAGTAACTAATTAAGTAAAATCGTATTTTTGGGCATGTTAAAAAAAAGGGTTGCAAAAAAAAAAAACACATTGTAACAAAACAACTCCTTCAAAATGATTAAGAAAAATTCTTGCAAAAGAAAATCCATCGATTCATTGAATGCAATGATTTGATAATAGTGGAAAATCGTAGACTTAGATAAATTTAGTCTGTCCTTGGGAGGAAATGAGATTAACGGAAGTGCAACATCACTTAAACCCCCTGGCACCGACTTAAGTGGTGTTGAATTCCCAACACTAAAACAGTCTGTAAATGTTTCTGTTATTACCTCTAAGACGCTGGTGAGAAATATAAAGTATAATTATATAGCTGTAAATGTTCATCATTTTATGTAGCATAATTTTACCCTAAGATTTATTGAAACTGGTTTGATTTGCCTGCCAAATATAGTTCAGTACTGAAAGTACATTAAAGGAAGTGACTAATTTGCAAATTCACGTGAGAAAAAAAAAGATTATGTGTTAATTAAATACAAAGTAATGTACTTACATCTGATCGGCAGATATATTCTGTAAACCAAGTATTGAAGCCTCAATTAAGAAGTTATAATAGGCAAACTGTAGATTAATTGATTTATCGTGACGAATTTTATACGTAGATGTTTTTACCCAGTCGTCTTGAAATCTATTTTTAAAAAGGAAAAAACAATTTAAATTAATATATAATTGTAAATGAACTGTTTCTGAGATATGTATGCTACTGTGAATTTGTATAATTATGCAAAGATTATATAAAGCGACGTAATGTGATTAAATAAAACAAATACAAAAAGTAGCATTTTATATATGTTCACAATCAATATTTCTCTCTGCACAATATCAAAATTGCAGTCAAAATGATCACCTGACTTGTAAATGTTTGAAAATCCCTTTATCATACAAATGTGGTCCACCCCTTGGTATTTCTCTGATCCTAGGTCCAAACTCTTTATTGAATAGAAATTGCGTATGCAGGATCGATCCCTTATAGCTGTCAAACTTAATATTTTCGTTATTGTCTTGACTTGGCTCAATATTTTTACCAATGCAGTCGTCTCCGTCCCATTCACAATTCTTAGTGTAACATGACCTTTCACATTTACCATTGTTCACATTCTCGGACCGACAGTTTAGGCTACAGCTTTCAAGATCCCCGGGGAAAAAACGGACCTGAATGTAAAAATAAAGAACTCTTCATAAAAAGTGTGCAAAGAGAAAAAAGAAAAATGACATAGTTAACAAATATAAATCAGTGAAAATTGCTATCATGGTTTGAAACAGTCTGTCTATGAGTGCTACATCTCGTTCCCTCTTTAGCACCAGGTTAGCTGGTATTCTAGTACTGGACCAGGAAAAAACATAACAGTAAAATGTTTACAAGTTGTTATAATGTCTGTAACAAAATATATGATTTATATTCCTCGAAAAGCTATCGGAACGTTCGGTCAAGGACAATAAGATAATATATGAAATAACTGTAATGCACTGAAAATACTGTGCAACTAATAAAATCGAAACCATGTATTAAATAACTATCACGACAGTTGACACTATAAAAATACATAATTATAAAAGAGTATCAATATGCTGGTTTGTCCCATTGGTGGAGACAGTACGGAGAGCAACAATCTGAAAACAGTGTGAATTAAAGGCCAATGTTCATAAGGCAAAAAGATTATTTCAGTTGTAATCAAATTAGTTTCAAGATATTTTTAGAAGTTCACTTGAAACTAGTTACATAACCTCAATCTCAACCCTGTGGTAAAAAGCATACAAATGGGTCTATCAATATTTTAATCTTAATAATTATTACCTTAAACTTTCCCGATGATGTAACAAAATCTTCCAGCGCAACTTTTGATGTAAGAATTATGTCATCATACATACATATAAATCTTTTTGAGAGTCCTTTTATTCTGAACATGTGACTTTCAACTGCTTGGAATGAAAACGTTGGTAAATCGCTTTTGTTTGGAAACAGCTCCTGTTAATTCGTGAAATGAATGTTTAAATCAAAACCAGTTGAGTTTCCCAGCTTTGAATATATAAGAGTCCATTTGAGTGTTCACGGATTTCAAAATTTGACTATCAAAATTAGTTGCAAGATGTACAGAGCTTCGTCAGACTGTAGGGACGCTGTCTGACTGTGCACTATTGGCAAAAACTTTATTTTTTTAGGTTTCAGCAGGTAAAGTGATAAGATATGAATACCGTTGTCCAAGAAAGTGTTCATTCAAAAAACAATTATTAATAACGATAAAACAATACGACAGGGCAATAGTGAAATCACTTTAAAAGTTTTTCATAAAAAAAAAACACAATGTACTACTATTTATTTACTATGCGAGTCAAAAGTCAGCTAAAATTAGTTCCTTAATGAGTTTATAAAAATAATATATATAAATTGTTCAACAAAAAGATGTTCACATATACACACATTGTTTACTTGAATAATAATAAAAACCTTTTTATAAATACCTCGTGTGTTACAATTTTTATGCGTGAGCTATCTGTCTTGAGCCAATAAGGTATCTGTCCATTTGTAATAAGGTAAATACGTCTAAACCAGTTGGCATATTGTTGAACTGATCTCATGGAATACTTCAGGGTGCCAAAATCGTAGTATCTATTTAACGCCAATAGTTTCGAGCTGGAGTAAAAAAAATAGTGTTTTTAATGAATGAAATTCTTTAAACTTGACTTATCAGTTGCAATTGCTCGGCTCCCGGCGTCTAATTTTGGTAAAATGAAAAATTTGAGTGAATGTAATCGGTTAACGAATAGAATAATGTTGAACAACAATTAGCACTGAAATGACACAAACTGTGTTGGTGCGCTTTAAACCAAAATCATTGAATGTCGTTTTGTACATCACTGAATAAAAAAATTGGTTTTATTCTCACACAGTTTCAGTCTGCTGTATTTCAATGAATGGCTTTATAAAAGAAATGCTAAATTGATATTGAGGTTTAAGGAATAGCAAATATGAATTTCATACTAGTATTAAATTCACGTGTGGATTGGTTAGCATGCAATTAAGTACCACTCTATTGCTAGCATATATATCTTTGTTTGGTACTTTGATTTATATTTTATTTATTTATACATTTTTTTCTGGTTCTAAACTTGTTCGAGTACTTATAAATTTATGCTGCAACTGTAAATGGCAATATTGTACATACTCTTTTCTGTTGATTGACTGGAGATACTTCGTAAGATTGTATTTGAATTGTGAATCTGATCCATTTATCCAGATGTAAACTAAATCAACTTCATTGTCCCGTTCGGTTTTCTTACTGAAGAAAGCATAATATTAATGTTATCTAAATGTTTAGGAAACATTCTTGGTGAGTTTATAAAGAAGCATTTTTGGAATATATATTACAGGCTCAAAAATTCGAGCCTAAAACATTTATTATTGTTTTAATATTATATACATCTTGTAGATCTTACTGTTCAGTATTCTTTTCTGTAGTGACAATATATGGCCTTTCAGTTCTTAAGCTTTCATCAACTTGGTTGACTTCATTTAAAGAATCGTTGTCAAATGTCTGCAAAGGCAAAAAGAGAAAGATTCTTTTAACAAAGAGACCTGGTTGGTTTGTCACGCGTCACCATGTATTTTAACGAAGTCGAATCTCCAAGTTTATCACATTTACAAAATAAGTGATGTGAACATTTTGTAAAGCAAATCATCAATAATAATTAGCCTAAAGAATATAATTTCAAAAGTGCAGAAAACAACAAAAAGCAGTTGAGATCTCAGCGACGGAACACAGTCAGTTATCAAAGTCTGTCAATCTGAAAAACGGTAATCTATTTTCCGAGCTTAAATTGTTCTTTCATGACAATTTGTTAAGAATTTTACGGAAAATTACATTCGAATTCTAATACTTTACTCTATAAAAGATATTGAAACATATAACTGATTGTTTCCGTAATTTGTGACCAAAGTCACGTTTGTTCAAATTTAAATTTTCAAAATTGAATGGGATTTGGCACAAAACAAAGAATATTTGGTATATTCATATCAATATTATAATTTATATTCGCGTCATTCAACCTAAAATAGTATAAATCTATATCCTTCGAAAATTGGAAACAAAATTCAAAAACTGTTCCGAGAGATTGCTATACACTTAAGGGCTTTATAAAGAATAGTATCATTGTTATTCAAAGCACGTGGATATTTTATATATGTTTATACCCTTTAATATGACCTGTGTATCAGTGAAAATTGATTATGAAACAAAATGTTCTGCATTTATATCTTGAAAAGCCAACATACTAGAGTAAGGTGTCTTAAAATAGTCATGAACAAAATAACATTTTAACTAAAAGACAAAACATGCCTACAGTATGTTAAAGTCATGATATCTATGTATGACAACAGTGTGACATGTTACGTTATTGGATTGCAAGATTATAGTTTTTCTCTTTTTCTTAATACAGCTTGATCGTGTCACGTGGTTATACATTCATGCTTACGGAAAAGCAAACAAAGTGCATCAATACTTACTCTGACAATATTCCTAATGTTAGGAAAAACATTACATCAGACAACAAATTAGGATGCTCTGTAGGATAGCAACTTACAGTTTTTCTATAAGCATACATGGTATTCCATTAACAGCATTTTCTCCTCAGAATAGAGGTAAAAACGGCACTCTTGATGCTTTGAGATGACGTCATAAACCACGTGAAATGGCCGCACTGTTGCTAAATAAATAACAAAAATTCGTGCATTTTGCAAAACAGATATTGATTCCTCTGCTTTTAGCAAACTGGAAGTAAACAAAGACTTACTCTTTTCTCCTTGTTAAAATAAAGACCATATGTAAACATTAAGCCGCAGCATATTAACAAAACCATGCATGAGATATTCCCCTTATTTTGGCACCATTTAATAAACATCGTATTCAATGTGACAAAAGTTTGCAATGATAAGCCCAAGATTTTTGTTACAATTGTTTTCAAGTCATGCTTGACAGAAGGTTGTTATATTAACATTTCCGTTCCATATTTTCTGTCAACATGAATGCCATGTACATGTATAACAAAAGGACATTTAAATCAATATATCATGTTGTGTTCTTAACAGATTTTTAAACAATTGGAAAGATGTTACATCTTGGATTTATTGGTGTTTCTAACAAACAAATGTGATGATTGTGACATTTTCAACAAAATTGATTGCAATCAATCCTTACGCCTACTGTGCATTTCCCTACCTTAATACAATCAAAACCAATTAAAACATCAGATGTGAGAACTTTGGACAGATTAGCATCTTATGCTCAACTTTAAACATTTTTTTTAAACGAACTATAAACACAAAGGTATGATACTACATCGTCGCGCACCTGCAAAATGCTCCCAATCGGACTGTTTTCTTTTTCCTTGTTTTCTTTCTTTCTTCTTTGTTGTTGTTGTTGTTTTTGTTGTTATTTTGTAAACATCCAATCGACTCAAAGGTAAAATATGTTTTTATTTGAAATCGTTAGAATATCCAAAAGTAATGTAGTGCAGCAAAGATTGGCTTTATATTACTTGATATGATTTTTTAAAACGTGTAAAGTTTTACTGCCTAATTTATCCCTGAAAACGGGAAAAAGATTCTGCTTCCTAAACGCTCCCACTCGGACTCCAAAACAAAATTTATCCCGTCGGGGTAGGCAACAGCTTTGAATAAAGATAAGTTTCTTCTGACTTAAGATTTTAATAAATGATACAACTATATTTTAAGCTAAAATTACATACGGGTCATTTAGCTCACACATTTCAACAGACCAATCTGCTGTCTAAAAAATACGGTTTTTTAATGGTAAAACAAACGATAGTTGTAGCGCCGATATATGTCTGTAGCAACGCTATATGTCGCAACGCCGCTATATGTCGCAACTAACGCTAAATGTCGCAACGCTGACGCTATATGTCGCAATCAACGCTATATGTCGCAATCGCCTACCGCTAAATGTCGCAACGTTGCCGCTATATGTCGCACAAAAATTGATTGCCGCTAAATGTCGCAACCCCTTGACGCTAAATGTCGCACTCGGTAGGAAAGTAACAGATGAAACTGACACAAAAAGTAAGTGTTAAAACATTTAAAGTTTATATAATTTACACATGAAAACATATCCTAGTAAGCAAACAAAAGTTGTATTTCGCGGTCTATGGCAAAAACCTTGTATGGCCATAGACACAGTTTTTGATTAAAGGGATGGATTTGGATCTCAACCACGGACCAGGTGTGAGATCAAACTTTCTCTTTGAGGATGTCTTTCTCACAAAATGCATCAACAAAAACATTTGGATATACATGTATATTTGTTATATTATTTGACATAACTGAGCAAACCGCTTGTTAATGCTAAGGGGGAACTATATATCTTAACATTTTTTATCACACACCCGTGCCGATTTTGCGACTCCCTAAATACGGCCGTGCATATATTTTGACGTGACGTTATTAGCGTTATACAAACATAGTGTAAAGACGCTCTAAATGTTAGCATAATACTATAGGTGCGTCAGTGAAAAATGACTCTTTTTTTCACTTTAAACGGTCTTTATTTTGGGTGTGTGATAAATAGAATATTAAATTCGTGTAAGTTCATTACTGAATTTATTGCACTCGTTGAATAAAATAATATTATTCAACTCGTGCAATAAATTCAGTATTGAACTTACACTCATTCAATATCCTCTATATGTTAATAGCTGTCATTATAAATAGTGGTCGAATAGCCCAGTCTAGGTAATTCGAATTTGGTATTTGTCCAGAGCAGATATATACTTATGTATTGAGTAATAAAATGTGAAACATCAGTGTGTTCTCTCTCCGTTATACGACAGGGGATACAACAATATTTTGATATCCGAAGTACTGTGTCCAATTTCTCATATTATACTGCGCTTTGTTTAAGCCTCGTTTTTTCTCCGTTACATGGATACTTTTGTAATGGTTTGATATTGTAGCTTCATTTTTACTTCAACATGGTTTCGTTTGTGGCGTTTTCATAATGAAGTATCATTTTCATTTTTATAATGATACATTTGCCTTGTTTTACCATTACATGAAATACTTTTGTAAAGTTTTCCTTATTGCAGCCTGGTTTTCAGTGTCACATTTCCTTATTGTAGCCTCGTTTTCATTATAATAGGGTTACTATAGTCTCTTTTCCTGCGTTTAACTGTAACGCGAATACGTTTGTAAAGTTTCCTTACTGTTGCCTTGTTTACACTGTAACGCGGATATGTTTGTGACGTTTCCTTACTGTTGCCTTGTTTTCACTGTAACGCGGATACGTTTGTGACGTTTTCTTACTGTAGCCTCGTTTTCACTGTAACGCGGATACGTTTGTGACGTTTCCTTACTGTTGCTTCGTTTTCACTGTAACGCGGAGTATGTGAGAAGTTAGCAGTTAACAGTGAGCTAAGCAAAAAGGCATTGCAATTTATATAGGGAAATCAATGATCTGCTGCTATGCTCAGCTTGGTAAGCAATCTAGCGGGGCATTCCAAAATATAGTGCGAAAAATGCTCTGCTCCTATGCTCAGCTGGGTAAACAATCTAGCGGGGCATTCCAAAATATAGTGCAAAAAATGTTCTGCTGGTATGCTCAGCTGGGTAAGCAATCTAGCGGGGCATTCCAAAATATAGTGCGAAAAATGCTCTGCTCCTATGCTCAGCTGGGTAAACAATCTAGCGAGGCATTCCAAAATATAGTGCGAAAAAAGCTCTGCTGGTATGCTCAGCTGGGTAAGCAATCTAGCAGGGCATTCCAAAATATAGTGCGAAAAATGCTCTGCTGGTATGCTCAGCTGGGTAAGCAACCTAGCGGGGCATTCCAAAATATAGTGCGAAAAATGCTCTGCTGCTATGCTCAGCTGGATAAGCAAACTAGCGAAGCATTCAAATTAATGATCTGCTG